TTTCTCATACATGTACATTGTATTGTCTGGTTTCATTCATATTTCTAGCACAATACGTCATACATATGAACTTGACTATGTTGGATTTCAGGCATGGGTGTTTTGGTGCACTTTCCTATCACTTATCACATACATGAAACTTTCCTGAAACCTTGATGCACATCATTTTGTTCTTCAAATCGTTAGATTTAAAATGACAGTCTCTGCCATGCTGGACTGAGTGTTTAACTCTTAAGGACGTATTCATTTTGCGATGTCCTGAAAATAAAAACTGTGTTCGATTTCAGGAGGGTTTGAAACTAATTGGCATTTTCATATTACAATTTCTCATTTTGTAAAGTTAGTTGATCATATACTGCAGTCCAATCATCAAATCAACAAACTTAATTCATTATCGTTGATATTATATATTATCCAGATTTTGGCCATTTTGTTCAAAAGACATGCTGTTCTATGTCATATCTTAGATATATCTCTGACATATATATATTTTGTGAGTGTATGATGTGATGGCAGTACCATAGTCAAATCACATCCTGCAGCTACAATTAGTTTCACATGTAAGTTTTTGTCACTTGACCTCGTCAAGGCCATGTTAGGCAATGAAGTATTTTCACAGTGTGTAATTGTCAGGCTTCTCTGATACTTACTTAAATTACATTCAAACTTTATGAATACATTATACATCATGTTGGACATATGGACATTTATTCATTTAAAATCCTGATTCAAGATAGCTGACAAATATCTATTCTTGTTGAAAAATGTCACTAGATCAATCCTTTGTAGTAATGAATTTCAGGCTCTTCAATTCAAAATGGCTGACTGGTGGCAATTTTGATATGAAAAATACTGTCAGGGCTGATTACATTCAAATTTTACCCAAACAAAATACATCGGGGATTCAAGATAGATGACTGGAAAAAATTGTCATCACAATTCTCCCATTACATTTTTCCTTTGTTCACTATTTCACGAAAGATGTTTGTCAATCTGTCTTGTTTTATTTTCGTCATTTCAGATTACTGCATGATGGTGACTATTGTGGATCCGTCTCTGGAGCAGAATGCCAACGGATTGAAGTGTGTCCTCTTTACAAAGGAGCAAGAAATGTTACCCCATGTGCAAGCAATAGGAGATATTGTTAGATTGCATAGAATAAAGGTCAGAGGTCATTTCCTGTGTATTTAATTAAATTTATTTGCTCTATTAGAAGCGTATCTATAATACCAGGGAACATAAGCATAAAATGGTATTTAATGTATTATCAATTCACTAAAATGTATTATTTTGCCCACATACTCACCTCTGTTATTCACTTAAACACATGCATTACTAATAGAACAAATACGCCTGTTTTCATTTGCTACACGAGAAATGATTGAAGTTGAGCAATATTGTGTTTATGTGTATTTTGAAATGTATATCATTGTATTTCCACATGATGTTGTGATTGTTGTACTGCTTTTTAGTGTGCTGGCAGTTCTGTATTGAGTACATGAGTACATGCAAACTAACTGCAATTCACCATGTCTGGATTGGTTGTATGATGTGGCTTTGTTCACTTGTATTGCATAGGTATACCAAGTGTTGAGATCCCTGCATTGGAGTATTTGTGGATGTAAATGAATGAATGAAAACCCTCTGTGATCTTGAGACAACGTTGGGATTTACTCGCATTTGATTCACTAGCTGTTAATTGCATGGAATTATCTTATCATTCTTGCGAAAAAGTGTACAGTAATGGATTCTCACCAGATGACTACAAAACTTTATCACATATAAATTTAAGAGTGGCGGTTGTCATGTTTTGTTTGATATAAGTCCAATAAAAATGCATGTTAGTAGGTAGACACGACTAACTTCTACCTACCAGCCATACATACATACATTGACGATAAACAGTGTAAAATTTATTTATTTATTT